GGGAGGGGTGACCAGGCTGAGGGAGGGGTGACCAGGCTGAGGGAGAAGTGGTCAGGGTAGGGAGGGGTGTCCAGGCTGAGGGAGGGGTGACCAGGGTGAGGGAGGAGTGACCAGAGTAGGGAGGGGTGACCAGGGTGAAGGCTTGACTGGGGCACTGGGAGAAGACAGTTGGAGTGACCTGGTCTGCTGTCTTTAAGGCACCTGTCAGAGAGGGGCTCCTACTTCAGTCTCAGTCTTCCCATCCCCACCCAACCTGAGCAGAATGACCCAGTGTCCAGCAGTCCTTAGAGCTCACTCCTGAACCCTCTACTGATACATCTCCCAAGCTTGAAAGATGAGAAAGGAATTCATCTCTGCTCTGAGCATGTAAACATGCCCTTAACCCCGAGTCTGGTCCTGGGCTCAGTGAGTGCCCGGCCCTCCGATGTCCTGCAGTGCACTGGGCTCGTTCCTTCACTGAGAACGGACGAACTGTGGCTGGCTGCGGGGTGGCGTGAGGAATCTTGGAAAGGAAGCGAGTCAACATTTCCACAAATGACAAGTTGCTCTGGGCCTCATTCACGTCAACTTCCCTCTGTAAAGCTTTTCTGAGATGGTTTATTAAAGGGTTTCTGATTGGTGCAAATGGTTTGTGCTGAACCACTTCTGGTCCTTGGTTCAAATCCACCCAGTGGCCACATGAGGGAAAGCCTGCTCTTTAAGGACTGTTGCTGCTGTGGGCCACTGAGCTGACCTCCAGCTCAGCGCCTCAGAGAACAGAGTGAACCTGCCCCGCAGGCCAGGGTCCTCGTGGCAAAGCAGGTTGGGTGTTGCACTGCTAACCGAAAGGTCGCCAGTTTGAATCCACGCATTGCTCTGACAGAGAAGGATGAGGCCATCTCCTGCATGAGGAGTCAGTCCTGGACCCTAAGGGATGGTCATGATAGGTCAGCACGGGCTTGATGGCTGTGGGTCTGGGGATCTTACAGGACAGTTGACCACATCTTTCTCCTGCAGAATCACAGAGCAGATCCAAACCACCAAGCTTTCAGTTACCAGCCGAGTGCTTAACTCAGTGCCACCAGGCTCCTTCTCTTAAGACCACAGCCCTGAAACCCTGAAGTGGTTCTTACCTGAATCTCTTGCCGTCACTGTGAATGGAAGGCTCAACAGCAGAGTGTCAACAAGCCTACCCCTCCCGTAGCTCAGGATTTAGTGCCCCGAGTGGAACCAGAATGGACTGGGCCAGAACCTGGGTTTAGAAGTGTCACCACAACAGAGAGAGGCATGCCTGTCTCATGAGTCACTTCCTCTGAGCTCCCCCTCATAGCTGCCTTCACATAAAGTGCCTGGGAAGCACCTCACGGCTGCCTTCTCTAACAAGGGGCTGTGGGTTTGCAGTCCAGTGTCTGCACGCGGGAACCAAGCTGGCTGTGAAACCCTATCCGTGGCAGAGTTGTACGCATTTCTAAGTGCACAGGAGGGGCAGGCAGGTCCTTTTCGAGTGGCTGTGAAGACGGGCTACTGCAGGCATAAGGGGGTACATGCGTAGAGAGTGCTCCCAGGTCTCCCAACAGCACTGATCCCGCAGCATCCATTCCTACACGGTTAAGGTCATTGCTATCCCTGGACCCTGGCAAAGCCTCCACCGGGGAGCCAGGTGGGAGATTCGCACCCACAGCCTGCAATCCCGACTGCCTTGTGGCACTGGCCAGGTCAGTGCCCTAAAACAGCTTTAACCTGTCTGAACTCTAGATCACAAGTGTCCATCCTGGCACGGACAGATGGGGCCGTGGTGACCGGGCTGGAAGTGGGGTCTCCAGGGTAAGCCTGAACTGCCCCAGCCACACAGCCTCTGGATCCCGAGAGCCCAATCCTGCCACAGTCACTGCCAGGCCCGTGCTGGGGGCTGGGATCCCAGATCATGCCAAGTTTCCCGGGGACCAGGCCCGTGCTGGGGGGGTTGGTGAGCCTGGGACCTCAGACTATGCTAAGCTTCCCAGGGACCAGGCCTGTGCTGGGGGCCTGGATCCCAGGCCAAGCGTTCTTGTGATCTAGTCTGTGTTGGGGGGGAGGGGGTTGGGAGACCCGGGATCCCAGGCCATGCCAAGCTTCTCTGGGGATCAGGTTTCTGTGACTCTGTGCCAGGCACGTCCCTTCCAGGAACCGGCAGCCGCTTTTAGCCGCAGGCTGCACATGAAAGGCGGCAGTCGGAAACGTGACGTTTTGTCAACAGGCGAGGCGGGTCAGAGCTGGGTGAGACCATCCCGCAGGCCCGGCCAGCTGCAAGCACCACGCCCTGTCTGAGGCAGCCAGATCCAGGCCCGAAGCCAGGCTTCACCCCACACCACACCCCCTTCCCCACAGAGGCTCTTTGTCCTGATGGGCCCCCACACCTCCGGCCACACCCGGGTTCTGCTGAATTGGGGAGAAGGGAGACCCAGGGTTCCAGTGACAGAGCACAGGACAGCGGCAGCGGTGGGTGGCCCAGCACTCGGAAAGGGGTTCTGGGAGGCTAGGAGCACTGCAAGGCTTATTTTAGTTCCCCTGTTGAACCACTTCCTTCTGTGCCCAGAACTTCTCCAGTGTCAGGGACCAGGAGATGGGGCCTGATGGCCTGCCCTGATTCCTCTCCCAGCTCCCAGGGTAAATATGTTCAGATTTTCATTGAAAATGTCCAGCTACTAGAGCCCAGCAAGTTGTGGGAGGATCTGGGGGCTAGCAAGCAGGAAACCGGAGGGCCGGATGACCTGGAAGTTAGGGAATTGCCCTTGGCTTGCTCCAGGACAGGTGCTCTACCAGACCGGTGTGTGGCACGCAAGGATCTGCCCTGAGTGCAGCAAGGGGCCGAGACTGCCTCGCCCCGGGCTGGAAACATCGACAGGGCACCGGGGTTGTGAAGGGACTCCCTGGGGCAAGGTCCCTCCTTCAGCTCCAGACCAGCAGTGTTCTGGAAGACTCCGTGCTGTGGGGGCTGGAGTCTGACCTGGGAAATCCTGACACCTCTGAGGGGACTGTCCCGTAGGAATATCCAACTGCAGCTGGAGAGAGGCAGAAGCCGCTTCTCACAGAACGTTTAATCCTTTTAAGGAACACCGGTATTCACTCACACACACACACCCAGCCAGGGGAAGTCCAGGAAGGATGTAAAAGGAATTATGGAATGGTGCCTCCAGCAGCAAGAAGTCAGGGTATGGGAAACCCATCAGACCTCACCAGGTTTGCAAATGTCGAACTGTGTACTGGCCAACAGCCCCATCCCAGCATCAGCTAGCACTGCCCAGACCTCACAGCGCACTGTGTGCACCCTGCCAGTTAGCTCCCCCACGCATCTCATTCCTTCGTTTCTGAATCAACCGAGATGAACTAGTTCCTGCCTTTAGCCAAGAAGGGAGGACAGCAGTCACCACCCAGGCAAGTTATGTAGAAAACGGACCTGGCCATCTTTCTTTCCCATAGGAAAAGGATTATTTTATTAAGCATTTGATAACAACTACTTAACATTTACTCAGATAAAAATATTTACAATCTCACGAAGGCTCCAAAATAGAAACACTGTACCTCTCCCTAGAGAAAAAAATTCTCTTCAAAAACAGGAATACATTCATTTTTTTCTTACTTTGTAGATCAAGTTAACTATACAAATAAACATTTGAAACATTTACCTCTTTTAATATATTTATATAATATATATATTTAACAGCTTTACAAATAAAGGCAACGACTTTATACGAAAATACAGAGGGCAGGACGCAGCAGGGCCGGCGATGGGGCATAGTGCATTGTGAACGCTAGGGCAGGCCGGGGCTAGCCAGGAAGCGTGTGCTCGGACCAAGAGAAACACCTTCCAAGGAGTTTTTTAGCAGTCAGGGCTCTCTATGCACCTCAGGCAGGAGGAATGAGCCTACAGAAAGGTTCTTGCTGTGTCAAGGGTTAGTTAAGCCTTCGAGAAGCTAAAGCTTGGTTTAAAGGTGTTTTAGCGGAGAAATGAAAACCGAGTCTACTGAAGGTAGCAATTATGACTCAGTTCCCTGCACACTGAGAGGGGCGCTCAGAGCCTGTCCCTTTGAGTCAGGACCGGTGCTGTGGACAGCCAGCTGCTGACCACGTACAGGAAGCAGGTGCCAGAGGCCCAAGGGGTGCACCCTGTCCTCCCTGGCTGGGTGACCTGCACAAGAGCCCTTTCCGTTTCTGGGGAGTTGCCCCTACTGAGCCTGAGTAAGGAGCTACATTCTTTGTTTGTTGGGTGGGGGGAGAGCACACCTGAGGAAAAGCTCCCCAACCACTGCCAGGCGATGCCAGTGACTGCCACGCACTCCAGCAGAATCACTCGCACTCGTCTGCCCACCCACCACACCCATGAGTCAGTGGAGGGGCAGGGTGGGGTCAGCACAGCTGGCTGGGAGCTGCAGCCCTGTTCCCAGTGCTACAGGTCTGGCTCCCGATGTGAAGAGTGACAGAAGCAGCTTTTGCCAATCCACAGGGGACTAGTAGCCGGGTGGGGAAGTCCTGCTGGTGTGCGGCACTCTGTGTCTTCCCAAAGGCAACGCTCGATGGCCGGCCACCATGCACATCCCCACACAACCCTGTACAGACAGCCCCTGAATCTCCTTCCCATCCTCCAATCAGCTCGGCACAAACCTCGGGGTCAATCGCACTGCACTCACAGAACATTTTTTGGGAGGAAGCCAGCCAACCGGCAGACCGTTGGCCTAGTCTGTGGCCTCCAGGTTTAGTGGGGGGATCTGTTTGAGGGCCTGCAGCAGGGCCGAGGAGTCGGCGGCCGGCGGGGTGGGCCCGGGGGACGGCAGTCTTTGGGGCAGCAGCAAGGGTGCAGGCAGCTTGTCTGGGCCCACATAGCCGCTGAGGCCTGGGTAGAAGAGGGGCATGGAGGTGGGGTACCAGCACTTCTCCAGCATAGGCAGGTAGGCGGTGGCTGATGGGGGGATGAGATAGAAGGGCAGGCAGAGGTGCGGGGGCTGATGTGGGGGTGCGCTGAGGAAGGAGGAGCCCAGCAGGTCACTGCTGGGGAAGTGGCCTTCGTCAGTGGGCAGCTGCATTCGGCCCTTCTTGGTGGGGGGCTCCTCAGATTCCTGCTTGATCGCACTGATCCTTTCTCCCACGGCGAATCTGCGTCCACGGTCACCTCTTGAGTACAGCTCCCCACGCGCATCCCCCTTCTCTGACTCGCCCCCGTAGCCACTGTCTGTGTCTGTGTCACTGCCACTCTGCTCCCCACTGGACTGAGGGAAAGTCCTCCGGATCACGGGCACACAGTTCTTCCCAGGCCCATCTGAGCCTCTGGCCAGGGAGCTGGCCCTCTCCTGGAAGTCCATGGTTTTGGGGGTTGCATCTGCTGGCCTCCTGGAGGGACCGCCCTGCAGCAGCTCTGAGACCACCCGGTGGAGGTGGGCAACCAACTGGGATGACTTGAGGTCACGCGTGTTCTCGTGCTTGGCCAGGTACTGCAGCACCTCCCGGGCACATGTCTGGAAGCCAGAGCAGAAGGTCTCCTGACTGGGGTCCATGCTTCTTCCCGAGAGCTCCCCTGAAGAGACAGACCACAAGAGATACTTCAGAGACACCGTGTGATGACAGCAGCTTCTCATTCCCAAAGTAGCACCAAAAATGATACAAACGTCAAAGGAGTTCACAATCTTACTGCCCGCAAACAAAACACGATTATTTCTAATGGCTGCAAAATATCCTACCCTAGAAGTGACCTATTATTAACAGAGACTCTGCCCTCTCTCCGAGTGTGTAGGTTGTTGTTGGGTTATCATCCTTAAAAGACACAGCAGCGAAAAGCCTAATATATCCATAAATTTCATAAATTAAAGAGCCAATTTCTAGAAGAGCGTCAAGTCATAAAACAGAGTCAGTGAAGGAACAGCATCACTTGTTACTAAGGTTTGTAGATAAGTACTTTAAAAAAGTATATACTAAAAAATGTGTGTGTGTGTGTGTGTGTGTATATATATGTACATGCACATGTGAACCTCTGATGACAGAATAAAGAACTAATGGCACCGATCTGAGGCATTCGGAGATCGGCAGCTTCCAGGGAGCCAGCACTGACATAAACACTCCAATAACTCCTACAAGTCCCAGCCACACTGCATGCTTTAACAGAGATGCTTTTTCTAACTCAGTCTCTCCTCCTTCCACCTTTATCCCCTCAGAAATGTGCATACTCATGTTTTCTGAGGAGGAGACAGAAGCATTGCTGGTTGTTGCTGAAAGGAGGAATGAGGGGTCAGCAGGAGACTGCCTCCACCACACTGAACAGAATTACGTCGAAGGGCGGAGGATGGATGCTTAGAAGGTTACTTTGATGCTTGGGAATCAGGAGAAATGGATGATGAAACCTCAGCAGTTTCATGAGATTGTGCAATTGCACAAGATACCTAGTGGCTATTCAGAAATGCACACACTGAATGCAAGGAAAAGTCCTGCTGTCATCCGGCCAGAACGGCACCGCACAGGGAGGAAGCAGACACACAGGAAAACGCTGGGGCAGACCTGCCCTCTCTCCCCAGTGAGCCAACGGGCTGTGAAACACCCACGATGCAATCACACTGCCTTGGCCCTCTAAAGGTGGGGGGACCTCCACAAACCCAACAGCTCACAAAAACTGCACATAAATACTTTATCATCTGTATTCATGCCAGACAGCACACAGCAGCATTTCTAATGAAAAGCCTGACCTTTCAGGAACTGATCTCCCCAGTGACCCGGCAAAAGTAAGTTACTGGCTGTGGAGCCGTTTCTCACACCAGATGCTGAAGACCATGGGCTGTGTGCTGGCAACCAGCTGACCTGGACACTCACCGGCCTGGAGCCCGCTCTGCAGGGCAAGAATTTTCTGCTGCTGCTGGTCAATTAGGCTTGTAAGTGCCTTCACGTGCTTCAAAGTAAGTTCAAGAACTACTGCCTTTTCCAAGTGACCCAAAGTCTGGAATAAAAAGAACCTCTGTCAGCAGTGAGGCCAGGAGTTCTACCTCTGTGACCATTATCAGCTACGAGAAATTCTCCAAAGGGCGACAGACTGGCTTTTCTTGGATATGGCTAAATGAGATTTTAAATTATCAAGAACAGCTTTAAGAGGCTGGTGTAAACACATATAAATGTCGGAATAAACACAAGCCTCGAGTTGCCTGTCTCTGGAGGCACTGAGTGGCAGCCACCCCAAGGAAGGTCTGAGGGATCAATTTCTCCAGCAATCTGCTGACCTTCGCTCAGGGAAAGCAGAGGACACTTCCCTAAGAGCTGCAGCCTGAGGAAGGGCCTCTCCTGTGCCTGGCAGCCAGGACACCTTCCCCAGAGCTTTGTCTCACCGCTTTAGAACTTCTGGCTCATTTCAGCTTTCTCCTTCCTCTTACTCTAATACTTTCCTCCTTTTCCCCAGCAAATGGCCAGCAAGAAATGGCTTCTATGTGGAAAGCTCCAGATATAAAGAAATCAGGACTAATGCAAATTTCCTGTGTTTTTAAACGAGGATAAAAAAAATCCAAAACTAATGAGCCCTGGAAATCAGCAAGAGCCACTCTCTAACCCCTGAGCAGGACGGGGTGGACGTGAGAGGGGCCTGAGAGGCCCACGTGGTTGTCACTGCATTCCTAAGAGGCTTCCAGCAAAGATCCGGGGTCAGGGGAAGGGTCCCAGGCGGCGCTGCCCTCCGGCCCGCAGTTCCCCGCGCGGCCTGCAGGCGGCGGTGGCTCCCGCGCTCCGGGCGAGGCCGCGGCTTGTGCGCAGCCAGGTCCCCACTCACCGTGAGTTTGAGGTGTTCCGGCAGAAGATCCTTCAGCTGGGCAATGCACTCGTTAATCCGGTCACGTCTCTTCTTCTCGATGAGCCGGTGCGGCAGTTTGTAGGTCTCCTGGAAGGAGAGGAAGATGGTGGGCGCCTGGCCAGAACCACCTTTTGCTCCTTCCCCAAACTACTCAGTAGGGGCACCGCGCTCAGACCTTGCAAGCCCCCCCTCCCCACCAGCCTCAAAGAGAAAAAAACTTTTCCTGCTACTGAACACCCGAGAGGCGGGGACGCGGGTCCCGGGGTCCCTGTGCGCTTACCTTACTGTCGTCGCTGCGCTTTATTCCCCGCCGCGACTTGTACACTTGATACATGTGGGCAAAATCCAGCCTGCAGGGAGAGACGAGGGGAGGTCGGACTTGTGCGCTCGGGCTGCAGGCGCCGGAGCTGCCCCGGCACGAAGCGGTGCGGCGCGCGGGGTCGGCGCGGACTTACCCTGCAGCCTCCAGAGCCGGCGCCTTGGGCAGGCAGGAGGGAGGCGGCTGCGCGCTGGGGATCCTCTCCATGGTGCAGGGAGCGGAGTCCACGGAGTGCGTCTGTCCGTGCGAGGGGGAGACTGGGTGAGGACTTTCTGCGGGGTACCTGGGGTCCGAGCCGGGAGTCCTGAGCCGAGCTCTCGGAAATGCCCTGCGCTGCGCGGGGCTGCGGTGCGGCTTCAGAGAGGGGCGCGCATGGCTCGGCGTCCCTCCAGCTCCGGCTCCGCTCGGCGCGCAGACCGCCGGTGTGTGCGCCCCGCGAGCCGGTGAATGAGAAGCGGGGAGGGGCGAGCAGGGGGGCGCGGGAGGAGCGGCGGGCGGCGGCGAGCCGAGGAGTAATGGAGAGGCTGCGGGCTGGGTTAAATGGGAGCGAGGGGGCGGGCCGGCCCTACGTGTTCCACCCTGTGACTCCAGGCACGTCTGGCCGCGGCCGGCGAGGGAAGGAGCGGCCGCCCGCCCGCCCCCGGCCTCGTCACATGAGCCTCACGTGTTGAACCACGCTCGGGCGGCGGCCAGGGAGTCCCCACCCCCAGCCCCCAGGTGTCTGCGGCCGCCTTTCCCCGAAGAGGGGGTGGCCGCCGGGGTCCGCGGGCGGGGGGCGCGCAGAGCGGGGGGCGGGACGTGGGCGCGCCGGCCCCGGGGAAATGAAGTAAGTTCCCGTCTCCCGGAGTCGGGCAGGGCGGCCCGCCCGCTGACTCAGGCGGGAAGGAATACCCCCGCGCGCGCCAGCGGCCCCTCCGGCCCCGGGCGGGGGTTTCTTTCCGTCCCGGGTCCCCTGCCCCCACCCGCCCCGTGTCCAGGAATCGCCTGCCGCGGGGCGGGGCCGGGGGCGGAGCGGATGTCACCCCACGGGAAGCGGGGAGACGGCCAAGAGCGAGGGCAGCCGAGGCCGCCGCCGAGCACGCCGCGCGCACCTGACCCCGAGGATGTCCGGAGCGGCCCCG